CTGGATCATTCTCATGAGCAGATTGAAGCAGCCACACCAAAAAAACATGTTTTGTCATTACAAAGCCAGAGCCAGCAGGAAAATAATGTGTCCTTTGATAAAGTTAAAATGAAACCTAATAGGGATATATTTTCACTATCCTAAACCTATTTTCTATTCATGTGTTCATAGATACAGCTGTGCTTTTTGTTTTAAATATGGTTTTATTTTGATAGGATGTAAATGTGAAGATTATATGATCTTATGATCTTACGATCTCGTAGTTATCCCTGTTACAAAAATCCACAACAAAAAGAAAATATTTGGGCAGAAACTGAACATATGCTGGATGCTGGTGGGGATTTTTTCAATGTCATATTGAATTAAGCGTTCATTTCCACATGTTTTGAGCCTATGAATTTAATAATAATATCATGCATGCTCTCCTCGAGCTCTTAGGAAGTTGGAGTGGAGCAAGATGGGAGGCAGAGGATGTGGGGTTTAAGGGTAACGGTGTAGCTGCGTCCAGCCGGCTGTGATAACGAACTTCCTCGTCTGTTTTAAAACTGGTGCACTCTGTTCCTCAGCTATACGTTAACAGCTGTTTATGTGCACAGTGTGCTCATGCGCTCTTTCTACCATAGTAACAGTCTTCACAAAATATTTCCCCTTCATTCATAAAACTGTAAAATCTGGGACATTTCCGGGGACCGGGGACGGGGGGTCCAAAACTGGGGAATGTCCCCGGAAATCAGGGGACGTCTGGTCACCCTAATTTGTGGACCTTATTTAGTTGTACTTGTTTTAACCTGCAGGTTATAAAATCCCAGTGCTGGAGAACCTCGGAGCCACTCTGGACCAGTTCGACACCATTGATTTCTCTGACAACGAAGTGAGGAAGTTGGATGGCTTCCCTTTGCTCAGGAGACTGAAAACACTGCTGATGAACAACAACAGAATCTGGTGAGTTAATTTGACACAAAACCCCAAACTTATCTAGTACATTTCTCCATTCTGAGATTAACAAAGTCAATCAATAATTGAATTGGTTAGATGTTAAAGATAAACATCGGTGTGGGGGAAAAAAAGATCCACGGATGTAAACAGATGGCAGTAATGCTTCTTTATATACTTTAACAGCAGAGATGAAGGCTGAATATCAATCCAGCTCTACACAAAGACTGAACCCCTTGATTCCTGTCTGTGCCTCTTTGGTGTTTTATCCTGTTTACTGTCACAGGAAGCTACAGGGAGACTGTTGCTCACAGGAGGACCTACTTTGTTAGGATCTCTGAATAAAATATAATAATGACTCTTCATCGTTAGCCTTGGTGGTTCACCAGATGCTATTGGGAGTTAGCATCAGGCCAGTTGTGGTGTGGTTTTATTGCTCTGTGTATTCCCAGCACACCGAGCAATGATATACAGACAGATGGTCATCTGAGGGTGTCCAAACATTGAAATTACTTGGACTAAGTTTATTGTCATTTTGTACATACAGAATGTATACAAAAAGAAATTTCGTTAAGTACAGCTCTCAAGATATTTCCATTTTTAAAGTGCAGCAGTGATAAAATGTAAACATAAGACTGGTAAATGATTAACAGTTTCCAACTTTCAGCCCTTTTTTATTTAAAACCCCATTTTATGAATGATTAGGGCTGAAACAATTAATCAGTTATTCAATAATCTGGATTGTTAATCTGAACGGTTGCAAAGAGCACAGTGAAACGTGCCGTTTGGTGAAAGATTAACCTCCTTACACCAGTAGTAATGACAAAACTTTACAACAAATATAAAGATCAAACATGTTTGATTTTCAGTCGACCGTCGTGGGCAAATCGCCCAGTTGGCAAGCAAGGATTTCTCTTCTTCTTTCTCTCAGATGAAAACACAGAAGCATGGTGGGAGTGCGAGTGAAATTGACTTCTTTCTGTAAAATTGACAAACCGTAGTAGCACCTGAGAGAAGGTTGCCCCCCCCCACCTTATTCAAATCAGACAAAATTGGTGTCAAACATTTGTGCGTGTTTGAGCTGCAAAATTTTCATTTGTGCTGCTATCATTTTAAAGGTATAAAGAGATGTTTCTAGAGGTCATCAAAGGTCAACCCGCTCCCCCACCTTCTTCTAATCAGGCAAAATGGGTGTCAATTAACCCTCCCAGGCTCAAATTAAGTTG